GGGGGGGGGGGGGGAGAAACGTTTAATTGAGAAAATAATCCCTAGAAATAAGTGGATTGGTTAAGATAAAACCGGGAAATATAAGGTGGATGAATTGCGGGGAAAAGCATTTTAATGAGGTTAATTCGTTTCATGTGGACTGTGAGTAACAATTTTTCAAATGCTTCAAAATGCAGATGGTCATTTACTTGGCACCAGTGTCACCAAGCAATATAAAAGTGAACTTCTACACTTGCCCAAGATTGACTTTTCTGAAGTAAAATGCCACAGGAAATGCTTACAAGAGCATTTCTGAGGCACTAGATTTCAAAATTTTATGGGGGGGGAGGGCATGCCACCAGACCCCCCTAGAGGCTTGTGCCTTGGGTGCTCGAAACTTGCCTCGTCTTGTTCTGGCTACGGCCCTGCTTTTGGTAGTAACAATTTCAGTCTCAAAGCAAAACATCATTGGAATACTAGGAAATTGTGTATACTGACAGGTGCATTCAAGGGGGTCCTTCCCTCCTTGTAGATCTGGCACTGTGGCCTCTGTACTGGATGATAAACCGAGGCCAAAAGAGTTACTTTTCTTTGGCGCTTAATTAGTTTAGGAGCTTCACGGAGTCCTCGTACACCGTTCCTGCTTCTACAGAGTATTTACCTCAATTTCCAAATAAAAATTTGTCCCGACAACTCCCGAACATTACCGAAGATGTTCCAATGATTTCCGACTGTTACCGAAAGTAGCACTGCAAAGCGCTCGGACTAACCAAATGGTAGAAAACTTAGTGTTATTTAGTAGTTCATGCTAACACTGATTCTCTTCCCCACAGATGAGGAATGTTTCCGTTATCAACAAGGAGACGATAGCGGTCTAAGTTCCTGTCCTTCGACCCCCACGACGACAGAAGACAACGAATCTCTTTCAGATATATTTGATTTGAGCTCTTCTTTGTGTGATAGTCTGAACTTGAGCCTCTTCGATGGCGATCTTCCGAACAAATTGCTCACTCATATTAAAATTAAAACCGACGACGACGTCAACGATGAACTGTGGCAGCCAGTCCCCGGAACACCGTCTTGTATCGTCAACAACAGTTCGAGTTTCTTGGACTCGCTCGATTTTGGAGTAATAGACGAACTGTTTGGCCCAACGGTAGACCCAAGGGATATTTTTAAAGCCATTGAAAAGCCTTCTCAGAGAGAGATTGTCTCCTCGGAGATACTAGCTGATGTGACAAATTCTGTTACTTGCTCAAACATTTCTTCAACTGTCGCCGAAGTCGTGACTACTCCGAGAGCAATTCCTAAAGAAATCGAGCAGAACATCTTTAAACGCGAACTTAGAACGAGGCGAAAGAGAGTGCAGTTAAATATTGATCACGATTATTGTAAATCTGCGGATCTGAATGATTCGGAGGATGAGTTCAAGGCTAATGAGGAAAGCGATGAGGTGTCAGATGATGATGAAGACTACACGGCTCCATGCCCGGCGAAGAAATCCCGCAAAACAAACTCAAACTCTGTCGAGAAAGGCAAAGGCAAGGACACCAAATACTGGGAGAGGCGCCAAAGAAACAATTTAGCGGCCAAGCGATCTCGCGAGGCAAAACGCGCGCGAGAAATACAAATCGCTAAAAAGTCTGTTGCGCTGGAGAAAGAAAACGCTAATTTGAAGAAACTAGTCCGGAAGCTTAAAGCGGACATTAAAAAGGCTGAAAAGAAATTGCGCATTGTGATATGAAAATAAGACTTGGAGAGCGGCCACAAGTCACGAAAACACTAATCCGAGAACGAAGTATGACTCACAGAGATTGTGAGATGCCGGTATTGGCCAAACATCCGCCCAGGATAGTCATCCCCAAGCAATTATGTAGATATGTGTTAATAACTCACATTACCTACATTCTTCAACATTTTCTCTCTTTTTTTGTTGCCTTTTTATTCTTTGAAATTGGCTAAGGCAGCTAAAATTCCCGCGCGGGATTATTTATTCTAGAAGCCTTTATGTAGACTCGGTTCTTCTGTTAAGTCGAGCCATGGCTCTGGAGACTATTGAAGTCGACTGGTTGCTCGCTTGTAAATCGGAGTATTCCTTGTTCTATAAATGAAGGTTTTGTGTAGCCTGGTACCAGGCTCCGCAGTGGGGTGAAACAGCAATTGAATCGGTGAGAAGTAGGCCGGGAGGGGGAAAGGGCGCCCCCCTTTCCCCTTCCCAGACTTCCACTAGGCTCACGTCGCTCGCCAATTTCTTTTCTTTTTTTTCCTCCAATGCGGAGCCTGTGCCTAGGATAGGTTTTGTTAAGCTTGGTTAACAATGAATTGAATGCAATTATTCGCGCGAATCACACCGTTTTATGATCAGATGTATACTTTTCGAAACTTGTGCGATAAATTATTAAAGTTTTTAGAAGTCAAACTTACGAAGTGGTTGTAGTATTTTGCATGGTACACGATCGATGGGAACAAGGCTCCTTGTTGAAAAGAGGCGGAGGCAAAAAATCGGTGGGATACAGCCGCCTCCTCAGGCGCTTCGTCTTTCTCATGGCAGAGGCGAGTGCGAAACGCGAGTGACTGGTGATGAACCGCAAGGGACCACGAGAAGGGTATAGGGCAGCAGGCGAAGCGTCTTACCCGTTGTCTCCTTCCCGCCTTCCTTTGCACGAACATTTTCATCGAAAGAGAGACGTCTGGGTACGAGGCAGGGTGGGATAGGGGCAGGGGAGAGGCGGTAACGTTCTCGCTGCATTTCGTGCGCATCATCTCCGCGCATACGCAAGAACCCTCCCCCGGGGGAGTGCATTCGAGCAGGGAAAGGTCTGGTTTAGGCAAACTTAATTGGCTTGTTGCAGGTTAATAGGCGGAGGGCAGATCGGCGGCATCGAAGGAACGTCCCCAGGCTCCGCCTCCCTTAACTCCTCTTCTCGATTCACTAATCGCTTCTCACTCGCCCTTTTTGCCTTAAAACAAGCCTCGTTCTACTGTACACAATTAAAGTTTCGTTTCGGGACCCGTGGTGTAAATACAACACCCTTGTATGCCGGAACCTAGGCACTAATCCTCCAGCACCAAGCGTAAACCACTCCTTACGTATACTCTCCAGTGAGAAGTAGCCAAAAGTAGTGTCGCTTGTATGGTCATGAGCAAAACAATCCGATAGACCAATTTAGATATATCGAAAATCATACAAGGCTTCGAGAAGGTTTGAGAAATAAGACAAAAGAATTTGTATAGATCATCATTGAATTGAAGGTGATATCTTTTTTTTACTGCAAGTTCCTACAAGCCTTCAAGCAACGTATTAATTTTGTAAGATCAGCGTTGATTCAAAGAAAGTTTCCGCTGACGCGAAATGCGTCTTCCGACTTCTTACGATCCGGCCATTAACTGAAGTACCTAAGAAAAAGTGAGCGCAAAAATAGATATAATAAATATTGGGCTTTTTTAGTTAAAACTATCTTGAATTGGATTCCATTTTAATTTGTTGTCACAAAACACCTAGAAAAAGAGACCACCGACTCTGCTCACCGTCCACGCTATTTATGATATTTATATATTTTCTCGTATTTAATACCCTGGTGAATCAGTCCTCTAACCCGCTCACAAAAGAAATGAACTATGAGTCATTCAAACATGCAAAGGCTGCAGCGCACAAAATAGAGAGTGGCGTAATACTAATTCCCAGCAGGACTTTCGCGCTTTCAAGGTTGCACCTAATCACACCACATATCTCATGAACAGTGCACGTCGTGATTACTTCTGTAATGTTATCGCTAAGACCAGCTCGAACCAGAGAAAGTTGTTTCTAACAACCAGTTCATTGCTATTTGAGCCGACTGATGTCTCGTTTCCAGATCACATACCTCCCGATAATCTGGCTAATTGGCATCTATTTGGTACAAAAGATTGATTGTATCAATGACTCACTGGACCGCCCTTCAGTCATCTGAGTCTCTTGACGGCGATGACGATGCGTCCGCAGATAACATGGGCGCATGCGCAAACTGTGGTGATCCTGATCCGTGCGAATGTGCAGAGTTNGTATTAATTTTGTAAGATCAGCGTTGATTCAAAGAAAGTTTCCGCTGACGCGAAATGCGTCTTCCGACTTCTTACGATCCGGCCATTAACTGAAGTACCTAAGAAAAAGTGAGCGCAAAAATAGATATAATAAATATTGGGCTTTTTTAGTTAAAACTATCTTGAATTGGATTCCATTTTAATTTGTTGTCACAAAACACCTAGAAAAAGAGACCACCGACTCTGCTCACCGTCCACGCTATTTATGATATTTATATATTTTCTCGTATTTAATACCCTGGTGAATCAGTCCTCTAACCCGCTCACAAAAGAAATGAACTATGAGTCATTCAAACATGCAAAGGCTGCAGCGCACAAAATAGAGAGTGGCGTAATACTAATTCCCAGCAGGACTTTCGCGCTTTCAAGGTTGCACCTAATCACACCACATATCTCATGAACAGTGCACGTCGTGATTACTTCTGTAATGTTATCGCTAAGACCAGCTCGAACCAGAGAAAGTTGTTTCTAACAACCAGTTCATTGCTATTTGAGCCGACTGATGTCTCGTTTCCAGATCACATACCTCCCGATAATCTGGCTAATTGGCATCTATTTGGTACAAAAGATTGATTGTATCAATGACTCACTGGACCGCCCTTCAGTCATCTGAGTCTCTTGACGGCGATGACGATGCGTCCGCAGATAACATGGGCGCATGCGCAAACTGTGGTGATCCTGATCCGTGCGAATGTGCAGAGTTCCCAAACTTCAAGACCTTGTCACAAGGCCAAGTTTCTTTGATTATTGGAAACGCAGCCATAAAATCTTGTCCTTTAGATTCTGCACTTACATCTGTGGTTCTACAGGTTCTTGATAAGCCGTTACCGGTAATCACCTGTATGATCAACTTGTCGTTTGAATCTGGTCTCTTTGCAGAGGAATGGAGGTGGGCCCTCGTATTACCCACGTTAAAGAAGTGTAGTCTAGACATCGCGTACAAAAACTTTAGCCCAGTAAGCAATCTCCCGTATGTCTCCAAGTTATCTGAAACAGCAGCTGCTGATCAATTGATTGATCATATGACGATCTATATCAATGGTCTGCACCTTGAGCTACAGTCGGCCTACAAGAAACAGCATAGTACTGAATCAGCGCTTTTAAAAGTGAAGAACGATATCTTATTGAATATGGATGCGCAGAAGGTGACCTTGCAGGTTCTTTTAGATCTCAGCGCAGCTTTCGATACTGTACACCACGACATCTTAGATAGATAGATAGATAGATAGATAGATAGATAGATAGATAGATAGATAGATAGATTGATTGATTGATTGATTGATTGATTCACTTTTATTTGAATACGGTAATTTCATAAGTTACATAACTTCTTTACATGAAAGCCGTATAGAAACAGAAGTAAATACTGTACAACTACACTAAAAATATGTACAAATAATAAAATATAGTAAAATGTAGTCAACAGTTTGCCTGCCTACTAGCCAGTTTTCTTTTAAAGATAGCTTTAGATTCGGACGCTTTTATGTCATTTGGTAAAGAATTCCACAGCATTCCTCCTCTGTATGAGAAAGACCCCTTATAATATTCTGTTTTTGGAACGTGGTCCAGTACAACATTATATTCCGCATTTCTTAGCATAGACTTATAAGGGTTGTTCTCACAGACATTCGAGAAAAGATCGCTTAAGTAACTAGGTA